TAATGACATCAACACCCTATATCAGGTGTGCATAATTATTAGGCAACTTCCTTTCCTTTGGCAAAATGGGTCAAAAGAAGGACTTGACAGGCTCAGAAAAGTCAAAAATAGTGAGATATCTTGCAGAGGATGCAGCACTCTTAAAATTGCAAAGCTTCTGAAGCGTGATCATCGAACAATCAAGCGTTTCATTCAAAATAGTCAACAGGGTCGCAAGAAGCGTGTGGAAAAACCAAGGCGCAAAATAACTGCCCATGAACTGAGAAAAGTCAAGCGTGCAGCCGCCACGATGCCACTTGCCACCAGTTTGGCCATATTTCAGAGCTGCAACATCACTGGAGTGCCCAAAAGCACAAGGTGTGCAATACTCAGAGACATGGCCAAGGTAAGAAAGGCTGAAAGACGACCACCACTGAACAAGACACACAAGCTGAAACGTCAAGACTGGGCCAAGAAATATCTCAAGACTGATTTTTCTAAGGTTTTATGGACTGATGAAATGAGAGTGAGTCTTGATGGGCCAGATGGATGGGCCCGTGGCTGGATTGGTAAAGGGCAGAGAGCTCCAGTCCGACTCAGACGCCAGCAAGGTGGAGGTGGAGTACTGGTTTGGGCTGGTATCATCAAAGATGAGCTTGTGGGGCCTTTTCGGGTTGAGGATGGAGTCAAGCTCAACTCCCAGTCCTACTGCCAGTTCCTGGAAGACACCTTCTTCAAGCAGTGGTACAGGAAGAAGTCTGCATCCTTCAAGAAAAACATGATTTTCATGCAGGACAATGCTCCATCACACGCGTCCAAGTACTCCACAGCGTGGCTGGCAAGAAAGGGTATAAAAGAAGAAAATCTAATGACATGGCCTCCTTGTTCACCTGATCTGAACCCCATTGAGAACCTGTGGTCCATCATCAAATGTGAGATTTACAAGGAGGGAAAACAGTACACCTCTCTGAACAGTGTCTGGGAGGCTGTGGTTGCTGCTGCACGCAATGTTGATGGTGAACAGATCAAAACACTGACAGAATCCATGGATGGCAGGCTTTTGAGTGTCCTTGCAAAGAAAGGTGGCTATATTGGTCACTGATTTGTTTTTGTTTTGTTTTTGAATGTCAGAAATGTATATTTGTGAATGTTGAGATGTTATATTGGTTTCACTGGTAATAATAAATAATTGAAATGGGTATATATTTGTTTTTTGTTAAGTTGCCTAATAATTATGCACAGTAATAGTCACCTGCACACACAGATATCCCCCTAACATAGCTAAAACTAAAAACAAACTAAAAACTACTTCCAAAAATATTCAGCTTTGATATTAATGAGTTTTTTGGGTTCATTGAGAACATGGTTGTTGTTCAATAATAAAATTAATCCTCAAAAATACAACTTGCCTAATAATTCTGCACTCCCTGTATAAGGGTTACTTGTATACAGTATTCTTATGAGAGGTAGTTACATACAGTATTGATATGAGGAGTGGTTGTATACAGTAGTGATATGAGGGGTAGTTGTATACAGTATTGATATGAGGGGGGTAGTTCCATACAGTATTTTTATGAGGGGTAGTTACATACAGTATTAATATGAGAGGGGTAGTTCCATACAGTATTGATATGAGGGGTAATTACATACAGTATTGCTATGAGGGGTAATTACATACAGTATTGCTATGAGGGGTAGTTGTATACAGTATTGATATAATGGTTACTTACACAGAAAAGGACCATACTACATCCCCCTGAATACACTCCATAAGCCTTTACAACAGAACATGACAAAACCCGAACACTCCGTACCCACTTATCGCTCACCCCGACTGGACATGGGGGTGTGGACACCAGGGAAGAATTCCTCTAGATTAACATAACCCTCCTTCTCTCTTTCTTCTCTTTCCTCTCTCTATAACATTCACTCCCTCCTGATAAACTCACCTATGACTGGGGAATACAAACACCATATCTGGTGAATAAAAGCAGCATATGTATATACATATACAGGAGGTCAGGCACCAAACATGGAACATAAACCACATGTATACGTAGGGATACGGCCTGAGACTGACCATCGGGTAAAAACCCATATGCCGTATCTGCACAAGCCGAATATGCACGAGCAATGCCTAATACCATTGTAATGAAGCACTGTCTCGCAGTCACATTAACCGTATACTGTAATAAACTGATAAATAGCCTGTGTTATAACTCACCACAATGCTTTTCATGGAGGCCTGCGAGCCTCGCTTTCTGATTACTTACTGCTTACTCTTCAATAAAATAAGATTCACAAAAAAAAAAAAAAGATATAATGGTTACTCATATACAGTATTTTTCTAAGGGATAGTTGTATACAGTATTTTTTATGAAGGGTACATGTATAGAGTATTTTTATGAGGAGTAGCTGTATACAGTATTTTTATGAGGGGTAGTTACATCCAGTATTGATATAAAGGTTACTTGTATACAGTATTGATATAAGGGGTAGTTGCATACAGTATTGATGACGGGTAGTTGAATACAGTATTAATATGAGGGGTGGTTGTATACAGTATTGATATGAGGGGTAGTTACATCCAGTATTGATATAAAGGTTACTTGTATACAGTATTGATATAAGGGGTAGTTGTACAGTATTGATGACGGGTAGTTGTATACAGTATTAATATGAGGGGTAGTTGTATACAGTATTAATATGAGGGGTGGTTGTATACAGTATTGATATGAGGAGTAATATATACAGTATTAATATAAAGGTTACTTGTATATAGTATATTTATGAGGGGTAGTTGTATTGATGTAAAGGGTTCTGATATTCAGTGTTAATACTAGGGGTGCTTATATTAAATTATGATAAGCTATAATGAAGGATATATTTGGTGTATAATAGAGATGGGGAAGGTTGGTATATTTGGTGTATATTAGAGATGGGAAAGGTTGGTATATTTGGTGTATATCAGAGATGGGGAAGGTTGGTATATTTGGTGTATATTAGAGATGGGGAAGGTTGGTATATTTGGTGTATATTACAGATGGGGAAGGTTGGTATATTTGGTGTATATCAGAGATGGGGAAGGTTGGTATATTTGGTGTATATCAGAGATGGGGAAGGTTGGTATATTTGGTGTATATTAGAGATGGGGAAGGTTGGTATATTTGGTGTATATCAGAGATGGGGAAGGTTGGTATATTTGGTGTATATTAGAGATGGGGAAGGTTGGTATATTTGGTGTATATTAGAGATGGGGAAGGTTGGTATATTTGGTGTATATTAGAGATGGGAAGGTTGGTATATTTGGTGTATGTTAGAGATGGGGAAGGTTGGTATATTTGGTGTATATCAGAGATGGGGAAGGTTGGTATATTTGGTGTATATTAGAGATGGGAAGGTTGGTATATTTGGTGTATGTCAGAGATGGGGAAGGTTGGTATATTTGGTGTATATCAGAGATGGGGAAGGTTGGTATATTTGGTGTATATCAGAGATGGGGAAGGTTGGTATATTTGGTGTATATCAGAGATGGGAAGGTTGGTATTTTTGGTGTATATTAGAGATGGGAAGGTTGGTATATTTGGTGTATATTAGAGACGGGGAAGGTTGGTATATTTGGTGTATATTAGAGACGGGGAAGGTTGGTGTATTTGGTGTATATTATAGACGGGGAAGGTTGGTATATTTGGTGTATATTAGAGACGGGGAAGGTTGGTGTATTTGGTGTATATTAGAGATGGGGAAGGTTGGTGTATTTGGTGTATATTAGAGATGGGGAAGGTTGGTGTATTTGGTGTATATTAGAGATGGGGAAGGTTGGTATATTTGGTGTATATTAGAGACGGGGAAGGTTGGTATATTTGGTGTATATTAGAGACGGGGAAGGTTGGTGTATTTGGTGTATATTATAGACGGGGAAGGTTGGTATATTTGGTGTATATTAGAGACGGGGAAGGTTGGTGTATTTGGTGTATATTAGAGATGGGGAAGGTTGGTGTATTTGGTGTATATTAGAGATGGGGAAGGTTGGTGTATTTGGTGTATATTAGAGATGGGGAAGGTTGGTATATTTGGTGTATATTAGAGACGGGGAAGGTTGGTATATTTGGTGTATATTAGAGACGGGGAAGGTTGGTGTATTTGGTGTATATTAGAGACGGGGAAGGTTGGTATATTTGGTGTATATTAGAGACGGGGAAGGTTGGTATATTTGGTGTATATTAGAGACGGGGAAGGTTGGTATATTTGGTGTATATTAGAGATGGGAAGGTTGGTATATTTGGTGTATATCAGAGATGGGGAAGGTTGGTATATTTGGTGTATATTAGAGATGGGGAAGGTTGGTATATTTGGTGTATATTAGAGATGGGGAAGGTTGGTATATTTGGTGTATATCAGAGATGGGGAAGGTTGTATATATTAGAGATGGGTATATCAGAGATGGGGAAGGTTGGTATATTTGGTGTATATTAGAGATGGGGAAGGTTGTATATTTTGGTGTATATTAGAGATGGGGAAGGTTGGTATATTTGGTGTATATTACAGATGGGGAAGGTTGGTATATTTGGTGTATATCAGAGATGGGGGAGGTTGGTATATTTGGTGTATATCAGAGATGGGGAAGGTTGGTATATTTGGTGTATATTAGAGATGGGGAAGGTTGGTATATTTGGTGTATATTAGAGATGGGGAAGGTTGGTATATTTGGTGTATATTAGAGATGGGGAAGGTTGGTATATTTGGTGTATATTAGAGATGGGGGAGGTTGTGATATTTGTCTGAGGGGAGGAGACCTATATACTCAGTGATAAAGGAGTGGGCGGGGATTAGACTGAGTGACATGCAGTGGGTGGGTCCTACAGATTGAGTGACACTAAACGGGGCTCGGTGTGCTGGTTAAATGACGCGATGTGGGCGTGGCGCTTTGCATGAGTGACAGAGTGGGCGGGGCTGCCTTCCCAGTCACCCAGTGGGCGGTGTAGACAGGGCTCCGCCCCCGGGGGGAGGGGCCGCACTCAGTCGGAGGGTAGGAGGAGGAGGGAGGCTGTGCCGGCCGGGCGTGAACCTCAAATCCAAGGAGAGCACAAACTTCCCGGCCCGGGGGTACCAGGGGGAGCGCTGACAGGGGTCACACTGAGCGCCACGGTCCATCCATCACCCCCCTCTGCGTGAGGGGGGACCCCGGACACAGGAAGCCCCCATAACCACCCCAGAGGGGGGTCAGAGCAAGGTGAGTACTACCCCTGGGGTGCCTGCAGGGGGCAGTATGCATGGAGCCACACTCAGACAGGGGGACTCAGCACAATGAATGGCCAATCTGGGGGGACTACAACTCCCATGACTCCCAGCCAGCCACTGACAGGCAGAGCACCATGGGATATGTAGTCCTGAGCAGCTGGAGTGCCAGAGATACACCCCCCCTTCTCCCCCCACTGGGAATGTCTGTCTGTATTCCTGTATACCATGTTTTGGGTTACAAAGGAGGAGTTTCTTTCTTTATTACATTTCTATGATTGTCCCCCCCATTTATTTGTAGGGGGGTCCCTTTTAATCTCCAATTTATATTATTACCCCCTATCTGTGCCTCTCCTATTCCCTCATAGAAGGGGGGTATACAGGAAAGCTGGGGGCAGTTTCTGGGTGTGAATACTTCCAGGGGTACACAGGTGGAGAGGGAGGGAGGGGCACATTTTTTGAGTTTATTGTTGTACTTGATATACAGATTGTAATAGATTTATCTAGATCAGCTAAATGACTAATATATATTAGATTCATGTTTATAGATACATTACATGATACATTGTGTGTGTATGTATGTGTGTGTGTGTGTATGTCTATGTGTGTGTGTATATGTATATATATTAGTTTTAAAGGGGTGTTTGTGGAATGCTATTTTGATGTGGAGAAATGAATAAGTTCAGTTTTATATTTTAATATTCAAGAATAAAAGGTGTATATATTTTGGTCCTGCTTTCACTTTGAAACATGTAGTGATTCCAAGTATCTTTGTTTGAATGGGTGTGTGTGTATTGGTCTAATCATCCATATACTGTGTATACAATAGGAAATGATTTCTTTTTATTTTTTTTTATGTGCCAAGTGTTGTTCAGCATATATTTTTTTCAAATGTTTGTATTCTTTATTATTAATTTTTATTTTTATAATATTGCAATCGAGAGATTAAAATATTTAGCTATTATTTACAAGTACATATTTAGGCCGAATTTCATTATTTGGCTTGAAAGGCTTAAATAGGATGCCTGGTCCAATTAAGCAATTCCTTTGTTAATTGAATTCATTACTCTAAATCCTGAGAGATGATACGCTTTAATCAGATGTGGCTGTTAATGTATGTACAACATATCCTATTGTACATGATATATATACGGTTGCTGTGATTTCAGTCCTTTTAATGTAGGCCTCTCAGTGGAACTGGTTTCTGGACCTGGCAATATTGACCGTATACATTATGGATCCCGAAACGTAGTTCCTGTGTGGCTGCACTCCTTGTTGCAGTTTTATAAACCCTGTGGATATTCCCCAGGCTAACATATTTTGTACACCACCCCCTCTCTTGCGACGTCTCCCATCCCTCTTTTTGGGCATGTTGTAGCCTGCTTGCATCTTTTTCTTTACTAGTGTCTGGCTCACCATTTACTTCTGCTGTAAATGAAATTGACAACAAACCCCCCCTCCCTTTTTTTTTTTTTTTTGAAAGGGAGCTGAGGAGGGTACTCCCAAGAATCTATGGATAATCACACTGATGGGTTGCAGTTTAAAATCCTTATGAATCAGGCCCTCTTTCTGCACACTTGTTCGTTTAATTTTTTTTAAATTATTTTTTTTTGGCGGGGTAGGGGTTGGAAATATAGGTTTGTTATAAAACAATGCTATCTTGCTTATGGTAGCACAAAGCAAAACTCTTGATTGGGGAAACTATTGATAATGAAACAGGAACGCAATGGTATCAAAGTGGAAGTATAGCTAGACAATTAGGATTTATCATCGCTATTGGCACGTTATCTGACCTGTGCAATTAACCAGATCCTCTACTTTGCCCTTAATGCCAGAGCTGTAAGAACCATGTTAAACCTGGTTTTTGTTTTGTCCATTGTCATGCACCCTCCTCTTCCAAAACGTACTAGTATGAGTTTCTCATTTTATCCCACAGTTAAATCTCCACAAAGATTTTATAGAAATTAAACACCATTTCACACTAAGATTTTTTTTTTTCTGTGTATAACAGACCACATTTGGTCACATGATCTAGTTAGTAGAATGCAAACTACACGCACAACTGGTAATTTCTCGCCCAGAGCCTAAACTAGAAGACATTTTAGGGATAGACTGATTATTCGTTCCGCTAATTATTAGAACTGATCTGTATCTGCCTTGTAATTTACCGATGTTGCCTATAACTTGCTCACCACACACTATCTTCTGCCCCCAGAAACTCCAGCCGCCAGTCAATGTAGCATCATGTCGTGACCTCACGTCGCCCCTTTCTGTGAGTCCCCACATGCTGAGCTCAGCTGATGAAGGCAGAGGGTTGAGACCGTGAATAATCTACTGTAATGTAAAGGGCTAGCTGACAGTGATAGGACTGCTGACGGCAAACACTGACTGCCTGAGAGTGATAGGAGTGTGATTGCTGTCAGCATGTTCAGTTAAAGGGACACTAGAGTCACCAGAACAACTACAGCTTATTGAATTTGTTCTGGTGAGTAGAATCATTACTTTCAGGCGATTTGCTGTAAACACTGTCTTTTCAGAGAAAATGCAGTCTTTACATTACATCCTAGTGATAACTTCACTGGCCACTCCTCAGATGGCTGTTAGAGATCCTTCCTGTGTCATGGCTGCCTAAAATGCAACCAAACATTCAGTATCTCCTCCCTCTGCATGCAGACACTGACCTTTCCTCATAGAGATTCATTGATTCAATTCATCTCTATGAGGAGATGCTGATTGGTCAGGGCTGTGTTTGAATCATGCTGGCTCTGCCCCTGATCTGCTTCCTTGTCAGTCTCAGCCAATCCTATGGGGAAGCACTGTGATTGGATCAGGCTACCACTTCTGATCATGTCAGCAGACTGCTTGTTTTTCTGAGTCTAACAGCATGCAGATCTACAGCTTCAGGCTTGAATACAGTAAGATTTTTACTATATTTATGGAGGCATGAGAGGCCCAGGGGAGCTAGATGGTGGTTTTAACACTATAGGGTCAGGAATACATGTTTGTGTTCCTGACCCTATAGTGATCCTTTAATGCCAATTTTGTGTAGAAATTTTGCCTTTTCAAAACTTTAAAAGTTCAGAATATCGGTCCCCAGTTATCAGCAATTGACCCGAAAGGCGTCCAATATTTGGCATTGGCTCTGGGAAAAATATATATCAGTCGATCCCGAATTTACTTTGTCCTCTCTTCTACACTTTGCGCATGCTTGATTAGGGCACTTTCCTCACAAATGCCCCTCAAAGACTCAGTTTCCCATTATAAC